GTTTCACTGGGTTGTATCAGTGATGGAGATGAAACGTGATAGATATGAAACGTGATGTGAGTGAAATAAGAGATAGGGATAAAACATGATGGATATGAGATGCTTGATGTAGGTGAAACATATCAAGTGATGGGATCAGTTGTATAGTACAGGGTCAACGACGAATAGTTAGGAAAGAAAAAGAAACTCTGATCTGTGCTGTCACCCTCTGGCTCCTGTTCGGAACAATACTTCTCCAACATCTGTCCTATAGAAAGCACCAACCCCCTACCCTTCCCATATCCAGACATTAGAAGAACACTTCACAGCTGGAGTAATAGAAATGCTGGTTCTTGTTCACCCTATCTTAAGCTTCCCTTCCCAATGGGAATCCAATGATTCCTTGCTGGAATTCCTTGAAAATGGAGGTTTCAGATACCCTATTGAGCCCTTGTCAAATGTCACCCATCACCCATTCCTAATTCTGGGTCTGTCAGAGTCTTCTACCAATGATGCTGTAGTCTTGCATCAGTTCCCTGGTCCCTTGGAAGGCCCCTAAAATACCTCAGAAGCATCTACTGGATCTTACCACACTGCTCCCATATATTTCTTCCCATCCTCTTTGCCAATGAACATCTCATCCTCCCCAAATCCTGACAGCCCTCCTGCCAAAACCTCAACCTCAGACTCCTCTAACATGCCTCCTCTCACATCTGACATCTCTGATGACAACAGCAGCCTCACCCATGCTCCCAACCTCCAACTCTTAGCAGATGTCAGCGAGTATATTACAGCATCAGAGGGAGGTGACAGCAGCGATACTCAGGAGTTTGTAGTTTACAGCAATGATATAATCCAAAGACTGGTCAATGATGTTGCCAGGTCATGGCAATCCCTTCCCTTTGACACTTCCACTTCCATCCAAGATGTCAATCCCCTGAAACAAGTCATGCCCTACTTCCCTGGAGCCTATGCTAACCTCATTACACAACCTCCTATGGGTGTTCCCATCAATGGTAATCCAGCCTTTGGGCTACAATGGGTCTCAACCACCACAGCAGCAGCACTCCACACTGCCGACCCTGTAGGAAACTGGAATTCTTCAGACAAGGAATGGGAGGAGGATACTTGGGAATATTCACTGATGTGAGACAACAACTTGTTAGAAAGTCTCTGGGCATCATTGCAGGACATTAGGGATCCAGGAGTAATTGATGAAGTCAATTGCTTCAGGGCCATTGATACTAAGATTGATCTACTACTTGCCGCACGAAGATCCATAGGTGCTGAGCTCCTTTGCACTGAAGAAGAAATGAGCCAGTGTTGAACACACCTCAAAGCTGCTAACTTAGAAGAACAACTTGAATGCCACGAACTCTCCATTATCACTTCTCCTTCTGGTGCTGTGCCTTGACAACTTTGTCTCTGTACCAAATGCGAAGTCAATGGTCATCCACAGAGTGAGTGTCAGCATTGGATATGTTCCTCTTGCAGGCTCCTCCATCCTCATCACAAATTCCAGACAGAGATTGATATTCAACCAGGACAATCCCCATGTCCCACCAAGGAACCAGGCTATTTACAGGAGTGATGTGCCCAGCGGCAATTATAACGATGAATCTAGA